CGCCCAGGAACTATTTACTACAAGAGCGTGCAATTTCTGGCTTATGCCGATGACATCGACATCATCGGTAACAAAAACCGCTTAGTCTGTTCTGCTTTTTCCAAGTTGGATAAGAAAGCAAAGCGAATGGGTCTAGTGGAAAACGATGACAAGACAAAGTATCTCCGAAGTAGAGAATTTCGTTCACTTGGGAACCAGATTTAACACCGAAAATAATCTCTGCATGGAAATCCAAGGCAGAATCACTCTTGCCAACAAGTGCTACTTTGAACTGAGTAGGCAATTCAGGAGTAAATTCCTCTCTCGACGTACAACCTACACTAGGTTTTATTTCGGGTGTATTTCATGACTTTTTTCTGTAGCACCGTGTAAAAAAAGTGTGGGTAGCGGTTGGTCAGGTCTTGAAATTAGACGCATGTTTTAGCGACTTTGCTAATATGTAATTTTCTACTTTCTTAATTTTCCGATTTTCAGCCTCCTTTGGCGTAATTTCGCGAAAAGTGTTTGTCGAACAAAGGAAAAATCACACCAATCATTGGGAAAAAAGAGAATATTTGCACCTATATAATTTTTAAGTATAACCTTGCTTTGTGGGAGTGGAAAGCAGAAAACAAATACTAACCAAAATTCCATCATATTTATTTAAAGATTAGGCCCATATTTTTTGCGAGTTTTAGATGTTATGGTGATCCGATCTTCCCCATATTATATTATATTTAGGCTTTTCTAATACAAGAGAGAGTACAAGCAAAATTTCATCGGAATCGGATGAAATTTAATATTTCAGCGCACGAGTGTGGAAGGCGTGGCAATTATCCTATTTTTATCAGATTTCATAATTGCCCGTTTCTAGGAAAAATTAGAGCTCATATCCAGTTTCAGCGAAATCGGTCCTCGTTAGCTATTATTTCCACTTACCTCCATATAGTAGAAACACTGTGCGACTCTCCAATCATCTGCACAGTACCATTTTATTCCAATAGTAGCGAAAATAGTTCGACTAGTTGCGTTCATTGGTAAGCAACCAAGAAAGTCCAGCTCGGCTAGAAAGTTTAGAGATTCCTTGTAGATTAATATTGAATTTCGCCTTTTATAGGCGAAATACACAGTGCGTTTGACTCGTGAGTCGGTTTGGATGTGTTTGTGAAAAAAATGTTTGTTAGTTACACCAACATGACTCCCGTCATGACTGAATGATTCAACTGTGTGTAGTCGAAGGCGAGTCCACACGTACACAAATGACTCGCGAGTCAGACGCACCGTGTATGCCGCCTATTATATGCGCTAACCAATAATTTTACTGTACCTGTTCTACCTGGAATGAAATGTTTTTTATTTATTTCTGTTTTATACACAAGTCTCAAATGACACTTTCTGAATTTGATGTTCAGTTTTGATATACCGCCGGAGCTTATACAGACATATTTTTACAAATCTAACGAAACAAGTGAAAGAAGATCAGACAATGTGTGAGCCAAATTTTTATCTACCGCAAACGGTTGGCGCTATTTTCGAAACTGTGTACAGTAGCGCTGAAGTAGAAGCAAATAGGTCAGATCGCGTCAATAAACTACAAAGTGCCGAATATGAGACAGACTATCACAGAGTTCTTCCATTGATGTCCTACAAAAATGCAAATCACAAGAAAGTTTTGTCCCTGAAAGAGAACGAATATTTACGAATACGTTGGCAAAAGTTTTTATCCGACATACCATCAGAATATATACGCATTCGTATTTACAGAGATCGAGCGAAGAGGTAAATATACATACATACATATGTATAAGCCACAGACTTATACATATGTACATACATACATATGTACATATTCCCACATAGCATTTGGAAGATTACTTTAATAAAAAAAAAATCGCCTTAATGAGTATTCTTCGATCACCTTTGATGATTAAAAACTGATTAATCGCTTCCGCGCTTAACCCGCATCCGTCGTTTCGTTTGTATCAAATTGATGCAAATTTCGAAAACATATTAAAATATTTATTAAGAAAATTAGTTAATGCTTTGAATTGGATTTTTGCGACAAATGCGTATAGATCTTTCAATCATTTTTATTCTTATTATCTTTGCTATTAAAAAAAAAAAAAAAAAAAAAAACATTTGAAACATTTGAAACATTTGCTTCAGCTGCCTTTGCTTCTAACGGCATTATTTTTTCATGACTTTTTGTAAAATTTTAACAATAACAGTCGATTCGTGGTGTGAAGCGTTTGGCGTAAGAAAAATTGCAATATATGTAAAGTAGTATGGCCTGATAAATATTAATATTTTTTATCTTAGATATTTGCCATCTTAAATTCAAAACAACAGACCAAGAAATAAACGGTGTGCTATAAAATCATTTTGTGTGTGCTAAAGACAGGTTGGAAAAAAACGAAAACAAACATCATCACTGCAAATACATAAGTACGGTCAAGAACCCGGGCAATTCGTAAAATGGATTTCTTGATTTTAATATTTTTTTTTTTTTTTTTATAATTACATACGGACAAGTTTTTAACTAATTTTTTATCGCTATTTTTTTTTTTTATAAAAACATAGCTCATATCATGATACAATAATTTTTAGAAGGTAGTTTCACTTCAAAATTTTTGACATAAACCGTGTCTGTGACAAACGAGCAATGTGGCCACTGCTACGATATAGAACTTGGGGATTATCGCTTGTTATTTTAGATATTTTTTAACAGAACATGTAAAGATTTATATGTTTCATAACTGATCACTTAATTTTTAATATAAATATACCTATTTTATACATACATTTTTGCCACTGCTAATCACATGAATAAAAATCTTGTTTATAATGGATTAGATCCATCGCACACCACGGACTTTATCGGCCGCCGATTTAGTTGGGCTCGCTAGTCTTTCCATTGCACCACAACTTATTGGTCAGAGCGATTAAGCTGGTGTAGTGTGCGCACCTCCATACATCTTCATGTACATATTTCAAGCGAGCCCTATCATTTAAATAGGCGGCCGATAAAGTCTGTGGTGTGCGGTGGCACTTATAGCTGTGTCCTTACATCTATTCCGTGTGTTGCAATATCCAGGAAAGCAGCAGTTAATTTTTTATGAAGAAAATTATTACAAAATATTCGAAAATTTCTCTACTTATATGTTTGGCTTTTCTTTCTTTTATTTTTCCAACATCAAAAGCTGGATTTTTTTTTTTTTGAAAAAGTTGGTACAACAAAAAATACGAAACACGTTTTCTGTCAGATAGCTAACATGGCGGATAAGAAGAAGAAGTGAAACTACCTTCTAAAAATTATTGTATCATGGCTCATATTACGACAAAAGCAAAGATGAGATGTCAAAACTTTGTGCAAAACTCAGGAAAATTTAATAAATTTCCAACTTTGCAACGCGATTTTTGCCAATTTTTTTTCTGACAGTGTCTTCCATACAAAGTATGTTCGCGATTTTTAACCGACTTCCAAAAAAGGAGCAGGTTATCAGTTCGGACTATTTTATTTTTATTTTTATTTTTATTATTATTTTTTTGTATGTATGTTACCGCATAACTTGGACCACGTCAACCGATTTCAATAATTCTTTTTGCATCGGAAAGGTAGTGTCACAGAGGTGGTCCCATACTAATCTGGATGAGATCCGATATATATATATATATTTTTTATATGAGAGTTGAAGTCGGTTTTTTCGCTAAAAATTACTTGTTTTATATGGAAGACACTGTCGGAAAAAATTGCCAAAAATCAACGCGATTTTTTAGCAACTTGGAACTTGCCTTTTATTTAAAAAGTTGCAAGTTCATTGAATTTTTATGAGTTCTGCATAAAGTTTAGACATTTTCTTTTATATTTTTGGTGTAATATGAGCTACGTTTTTTATAAAAAATTATCGAAGAGAAATTGAAACAAAAAACTTTGTATACATTGGGAAAAGTTCTCTGTGTACTGTAATAATGGATTTTATTAAAAACGAAATTCGTTATTTCATTAACTCTTCTTTGGAACTCAATAAAACATGGTGATTTACTAATTATAAATTAATTTGATACTTTTTTTCGCAGCGCAAACGATTTGAAAATAGACTGAAAAAGGACCCGGAAAAGACTCGAAAATATTTAAAAATACGACTGAAAAATGACTCAAAAAAGGCACAGAAATGTTTACAAATACCATGATGACAACCATACATATATGTAATACTTCTATATTGGCAGTAAGCTAACTTCTCAAAATTATACAAGGTGTTGTACGTAGTGACAGCTCGTTTCGACGGCTCCCTTACAAAAGGTTGTAATATGGAAGCACCAGAGAAACGGGAAGAAAAGAAGCCCGCTTTGCGAAATAGTACTAAATTTAGTACTCTTTCTCATATCAAACTGTACATACAAATAGTTACAAACGGTATATTATGATAAGCTCAATTTGTAAAAAAAAGTATATAATATGTAGTACTTATGCATTAAATGGTAATTTAGTTTATTAAACACAATGGCCTATAAGTATAGTCAACGCAAAGTCGACTCTAAAATAAATTGCAGTTTTTTGACATAATTTTCAAAACCACTTTAGGGTATAATTTCTAACCGAAAATACTATAAGATTATTGATATAACTTACAAAAGTTTCGCCATAAAAAAATTAGTGGTGACCCCGAATCGTTACAACATGACGGAATCGACAAAAGGCGCATCGACGGATGAAGAGAATATTTCATCGAACAAAATACCAGCTCAAGACCGATATATTAACCTCAAAACTCAACTACTGTCACGTTTTACTGATTAAGCCGACCCACGTAGGGGTATTTAGCCGGTCAAAATTATTTTATTATTTTACAACGCTTTTATCAACTTGCAGGAGACTTTCGAAAGCTGAACTCGCAAACGATACGAGATGGCTATCCCGATACGAAGATATCTTCCAACGATTTCACGGCAAAACATTTTTCGCAACAATTGATTTGCTGTGTTCATACCACCAAAACCCTGTAGCGAAATACGACATAAGTAAGACAGCTGTCACGACTCCTTTTGGGTTGTTCGAATTTTTGGGAATGCCGCCTGGTCTCCGCTTCCTCGGCATTGTGAATTATTTATTATAGGCGTCAAGGCGAATTTATACAAGGTGGTGTTGATGGCGAATTTAGATTTTCGCCGAGGTACGTCTTAATGTCAAAATGATGTGTTTGTTGTAAAACGAATGCGCCTTGTTTACAACAAACACATCATTTTGACATTCAGTAGTACCGCGGCGAAAATTTAATTCGCCACCACCTTGTATAAATTCGCCTTGATAGGCGTAGTTTGCCTCACGCAGCAGAAATTCAAACACCCCTCAGTGAGTACCTGAAAACGGCGCCCATCTCGCTATAAATCCATTGGGAAAAACACAAAGCCGATGTTTTTTGCCGCTTTGATGTTTAAAATTACAAATTTGATTTTCCGTTGTCAACGAATAAGAAAAAAGTAAATGTCAAAGAACTGTTCAGTGATGGCAAATCACTTTTGGAAAAAGGAATGAGGTAGTTTAGTACTGTTTTAAAGGCGGTAAAATGTAGTTTTTTTCAAGAGGGAGCCAAGATGGCGGATTAGAGCGAGAACGCCGTCAATATCCAACACCTTGTATTATTCCACCATGACTTCTCAATGTGTAAGCATTCCGAAATCAAAGCGAGACAGTCTAGTACCGTTTTTGTGAATGTATTGTGTACGTGAGTGTCCTTATCCTTCCTTTTGTGTTCCTTTGTGTTCCTTTTCTTTCGTACGTGTTTATTGATATATCTGTACTGTAATGTTTTCGGACGGTACTAGCTCTTACTTCCATTATAGGAGTATTACATATATGATATAAACATTACAGGGTAAATTCACTCTCTCAATCTGTCGGCCATGATTTGTGGCCTTGTTATGTTTTTATCATCACAAATACGACTAAAAAATGAATCAAAAAAGACTCGCAAATGATAGGGAATACAACTGAAATAACATTTGAATAAGGCTCACAAATTAATATATAAATACGACTCGAAAAAAAGTCAAAACTGATCAGAAAAGTGGATAATAAAAGACTCGTCAAGAAGAGTCCATCAATGGGTGCTGAGTCGCAGGATCTTTTCACCGAACCGTTGTCATCCATGCGTACATGTCGAAGCCAGTGAAATCATTGTATTTTTATGCGCTTAACTATGCCCGTTAAAAGCTCGTACAGTTCGTCATTCCATCTTCGTCGGTACTCGTTGCGCACGCAAACAGCGCCATCGATCTTGCGTAGAATAGTTCACTCGAAAGCTTCCATTGGCGTCGTTCGTATAGGCTGCCATCAAAAGCAGCATGAAAATCGACCAAAAAAATATGGTATCGAGTGTTTGCTCCATGATTTGACGTGCTGTGAAAATCTGATCAATGGTGGACTTACCAGGTCTGTAGCCACACAGATAAGGTCCATTCAGTTGGTTCGTGAACGGCTTCAGTCTTTCACACAGAATCGTCGAAAGGACCTAGTGTGCAATATTAATAAGGCAATTGACGCAAACGACAGAATCTGCCTTCTTGTGAATTGCACGTTTATTTGCCAAAAGTTCTTCAACGGCTCGAAGCTAGTGAGTCATTCGCAATCGTTTGCTGCGAATGCCGCATTATACTAAAGCCAGCCTTTCGACATAAGCTACTATTCCATACACAGATATGTTCATACATATTTTATTTTTATGAATTTGTTTGTTGGTATGTAGGTACATACATATGTATATAAGTAATTCAACGATTTATCGGTCTCTTGTTTCAGTCCAATAATACCTCGGCGTATGCAGCTAAACGGACGTTTCTATGGTGTCGATAACAAGCTTTCCCCAGTTCCCATAATTCCTGACCCAAGAATCATTTGAAAGCCAATTCATATAATAATTGAGCGTATCATTTATTTAGATATGAGTTTGCATACAATTGTACTTGGAATGAATAAAAAGAAAAATTCGCAAAATTGGATTTCAGTTTGAGCGTAAAATCTGAAAGTGTGAAACTTTGTAAAAAATTTTCTCAATTTTGACTTCATAAAATTTGTAAATCGAGACTACTGGTTAGGCATATCCACTGCCTAATAAACTTCTTTAATTGTGTCTAGAGATGTACGTACATATGTATATCGCTCGTTTAATAATATAAAGAATTATTTTTAAATTTAAATTCTGTGGAAAAACGCAATCAAAGTTTGATTAGTTCATATAATTGGTATACCAAAAAACAAATGGATCTACGCCATTTTTGCGAAGTTCGTGTGTTCGTTAGAAAAATTTAACCTCATCATTCATTTTAAAAAGCGAAATAAGGTTTCGCAGGCATCATACATTCTGACAAATGAACTTAGTTCGCGATGGAAAAATTAAAATGGGCCGCCGAATAAATAAAAAGGGTGGCCTTAATTCACGCAGAACAAAATAAGAACACTTTAGATAAGAGAAGCAACAACAAAATACACATAAATGTGGCTTTGTGGTATGTGGGTACACCAAAAAGCAATGACTCCTCTTCACCTATGATTCAGTGAGAAGGACTCTTAAATCCTCCGATGATAACCAAGACAGAGTGTTGTCGGAGTGCTCCGATAACAGACTGGAAAGGAGGCTTTACGGTTTTTCAAAATGTTCGTAATTGTATTAAAGTTTTTTTATCATTTATTTTCATTGAAAAAACGCTAATTTAAAAGATATATCAAACAAATATTTTTTATCCTATTTAAAATATGTTCCTTTTAGGTTTGGAACCACTTTGCGCCCGCTCTATGGAATTCTTTGCCAAAACTAGCACACTTTCTAATAAATACACCTGAAAAGTTCTAATGCTGGATTTCCACTAGGCATTAAATGGCAAAAATGACAAATGACAAAGTTGGGCATTAAAAAATAATCGTGTCATTACGTTAAAGAAATAATCATTAAGTTCGTTTGCACATGGCATTTTTTTAAATGGCCTAGTGGAAATTCGGCATAAAGTTATGCTGGACTTCCACTATGTATTAAATAGCAGAAATTCTAATGACAACTTTGGCATTAAAAAATATTCTTTTGATTACCTTAAAAAAATAGTAATTAAATTTATTTCCACATGACACTTTTTAAATGCATCCAAGTTTTTGTCATTTCAATGCCTAGTGGAAATTCGGCATTAGACGAAAGTAATTTTTTATGCATTCAATGCATTTGAAACTGCCATAACATCAACAGTTCTTTTTGCGGTGAGCCTTTGAAAATTTCTTTTTAAATTCACCGACTATAAGACAAAAAAAAAAAACACTTTATATATTCAGAGCGCTTCGAAACCGTTTATTCGAGGTGTTGCTGTGGTCGTTCTTTTTTTAGTCCATATTCAGAGCGCTCTACAGTTGCTGCCCATTGAAATGAACGTAGCAATGCTTTGTTCAATGTAAAACTTTAAAAATTTGGCCATGCAAATATTTCAAAAGTGGTCTAATGATTCTTAAAGCCTGATTATGGCAACTTAACTTAACTTAACGCAACGTAGAACTTAGAGAATCAAAATGAAACAGATTTCGACGTGACAGTAAGTTACGTTAAGCTACAGCTGTTCAATTATAAGCAATACCCATTTAACAGAATTTTTAAGAGAGAGCCGTAAGTTACTTTAAGTTGCCATAATCAGACCATTAAATCTGTAATGTTTGTGCAAAGTTTCAGGTCAAGCACTTTAATTTGATCCATG